GACACGTTTGAAATAGTCAATCTATCTATCTATACTTATGCCATTTGATAGAAATAATATATCAATTAAAAAAAAATTGTGTGAATATTATCAGTAATAATTTAAAAGATATGTATAACAAGTAAATAGGAAAACAAAACGAATCAAAAATTGAGAAAAGGAAAAATAGGATCATTGTTCCTGTTTCTCAATTTTTGTAGAATGGTAGTATAAAATTGTAGAATGGTAGTATAAAATTGACGATTTCTTTATTGTTTACCGTTTCCAAACTACTATTGTAGTAAACTATTATTTGGCAGCGACAATATAATGTAATCAATGGCACATGTCGAAAGGAATAGCAAATTCTAGAAAAAGTCGTACAAAAATCAAATCAAGTGAATATATTACTGAAAATAACATATTTGTAGTTTTCGTATTAAGATTTTTACTCAAAATAGAAAGTATTTTATAGTTGTCTAAGTAAGCATTATTTAATAAAGGTATAATCTAATGTGTAATAATTACAGGATAAATCTTAAATCTATATAATAATCAAATAATTTCTCGTAACCTTCAAAGCAAACTTAAAAAAAATAGAAGAAACTTTCACATAGCAAAAAACAAAAACGAGGTATTTTTTGTGTTTGTGGATCGTTAATGTTATCTGTTTTGCCGATAGAACGTTACCATTGCGCTGGCGCAGATCGATGAACTGGAAGTAATTACTACTATTTTAATAAATCGTGTTACATTTACATACATTAAAACACCTAATTGTAATGTGATTTAATTATTTTCAAGCGATATTTTAAGTGTAGCATCTACAAATCTATTGTGAAATAAGGGAACACTCAAGTACTCCAAAATATTTTATTCCGAATTTCTATGTGCCGATTTTCAAAAACCCGAATCCTTATAGCTGCGTCGCGTATCATCTCAATCAATAATCAATCAATCAACAGCCTATAATAGTCCACTGCTGGCCTCTCCTTAGAAAGGAGGTTTTGGCCTACTATGCCACGCTGGCCAGACGGGTTGGTATAAGGTTTGGTTCAAGGTTTCTCTCTCTTTGCAGTACTGTTGTCTTGTAGTTTGGTCACTTAGTCAGCTCTTACGACACCCACGGAATGAATAGGGGTGGTGACATTCCGTATTCTTAATCCGTCACCTACTGTTATTGAATGATTTGAGTTAGGTTAGGTTAGAACTATGACCAGATCCGCTCTTTTATTGGGAACTGGTGAATTTTAGATGTTTAGAATTATCATTAAGTCTGACTTTTTGTTATTTTTGCATATTAATTATAAAGGTTTTTTTTTTACAGCTAGAACCTCCGATGCTGTTTGGAGCATATTACCTACTTTATCCTTTCATACCAGTTCTCGCTTTTGCTACTTCTTTCTCTTTCTTTCACTCTGCCTTTCGTACTTGTCCAGGTGGGATTCCTGCTATTCTTTCACTATTTTCTTTTTTTTCTAATAATTAAGTAATTAATTTTAACAATGGTGGAAATGTTTATTTACATTATGCTTATACTCGTACTTACTATACATTATACTTAAACTAGACACCGCTTTTGACTAAACTACAAACCTATAAACTATTTGAAATATTTTACATTATTATACTTTACAACATGCTATTACTTGCTTTTCTATATTTATTGTATGATAGTCAAGAATAATGACACATTATTTTGTATCATAACCTTAATTTCTATTTCTTTTATTAACTATATTTATTATTTCTGTACAGTACTTTATAAACTTATTTCTATTCTTACAATGTATTAAACTACTAAGGTTTATAATTGTAATTTCAGTGTCTATTTCCTGTTCAATTTCATATCTTTGCCTGCTAAAGGTAAGGTCACAAATGCATGATGGGTTCTCCTTACACTTGAATCGTGTCAAGTATTCGGAGAACCCACCATGCCCCGTTAATAACAGGGTCGTAATGCCGGCGATCTCCATCCGACGTACGACGCCATATGCAGCCAGCGCGCAGGGGAAAAAGGTAACGGAGGCGGTATCGCCTTCTTTGTACCTCTTGTTCCATTCGCCAAGCGAGGCCTGTCGCTGACCCCACTTCACAAACGAAACAGGGCACAAACCGTAGTCCGGTGCTTTTTCAGTCCCAGAGCCGCCTCCTTAGCGAGCTGGTCGGCTCGCTTATTGCCCCCCAACCCTGCGTGGGCATTGACCCAGAATAAGGATATCTCCTTACCCCGGGCCATGCCTTTCCGAATGGCTACCCTGGCCTCCACTGCCAGGGGATGGAGGGTATAACGGTTAATTACCGTCAGGAGTGCGGCTCTGCTGTCACTGAAGATACCGAAGGTGGTTGCGCCTCGCCTGAGCACCTCAGTGGCCGCTTTGCATAGGGCCAGAAGCTCGGCCTGGTAGATGGTACAATGGGGTAGCAAAGCAAGTTCCAAATGGATAACACGGCGCCGACCCGGCCCTCAATCTTGCTTCCAACTTATTATAAAGGTTAGGAATATTGAAATTTTTGAATTATAAAAAAAGGTTAAATGATTAGGAGTTGTTATATCCAGAATTTTATACCATTTGGCATTATGATAATCGGTATCTTGAACTTCGTATTTGTGACTGACGGAATCATTTTTTTCGTATTTCTGTAGTGAACCCGTAAATAAATGTTATTGGTAGTAGATTTAATTGAATCTTCTATCTACAGAAGACTGCAGTTAACTAAGACCTTCAAAGATACGGTCCCCAGAGCTTTAGAAAAATTACAAGGGATTGGAATCACCATGTTCAAAAAACAAGAATGTATTTTTAGCGAGAAACCAGCTTTGAACCAGTTTATGAAGTCATCTAATTGAATCGAATCTAATTTTATATTCTGTTAGGGCGATAATGTCAAGTAATCTATTGGCACGTGAGTGCAAGTCTCGGAAACCAAAATCTCCGTATTTAGACAAGAGATAAATATGTACTTTTCTTTAAAAAACAGATGCTTCTTCAGCGGGAAATAAAGACAAAAGTCAAATATATCATCATCAGCCTATCGCAGTCCACTGGTGGACATAAGCCTCTCCTATAGCGCGCCACTTAGATCGATTTTGGGCTATAGCATCCAGCTCTATTTTATTCTTATATCCTTTTATCAAAATCTTAACCTAAATCTTTATCTAATAATTACTTAAATCTTATAATTTATTGAATGAATATCAAGTACAAGTTTTGGAATCATTCATAGACCACATCATCTTTAAAAAGGTAATATAATAACAAATATCCCTAATGTAATAAAAAGGACACAAAACCTTTAACCTATTGTTTTTCTCTGAGGGCAGTTAAATTTATTAGTATTAAGTTATGTTGAGGATTGGTACCAGATACTTGATTCCCTAGATACTGCAGATGTCTTTAAGTAGATACAATTCTTGTTTCTCCTGTTAAGCTTAAAGTATCAATTGAAAACCCGTGCAGGGCTCTTAATGTTGATAATATAAACGGTATTTTTTAAATAAAATGTTATAATACATTCTTTTATGGTAGGAACACTCAATTACACAATATACGCGTCATCAGAGATGCCAAAAACAGTTTCAAGAATTGATAACACCTCTCGCCCCTGACTTCCCAAATCAAAATCAAGGTTTCTGGCACGCTCTTGTTTACAGTCTTTGGACGTTTGGTTTGCATTCTGAATACGATTTTAAGGTCGTTGTCATAGTCTTATATGAAGTGGGATATTAATGGATCGTTGTGAGAATACAAAGTAACACGCATCACCAGAATCAGTTCTGCAACAGTCTGGTGGTCACTATATAGCACCAATTGTAGCTGTTGTTCCTTAATTCGAAGAAGAAGTAGCTTATCTTCAAGTCAAATGTTAATATTATATAAAAGCGTGATACTTTTACAACGTATTATTACAAGTCTTAATAGATTTATACATTTTTTGCAATGACATATTCATGCATACAAATATTTTATTTGACCAGCACTGGTGCCCTTGTACCGAGAACGCCGTCATTCCATAAAGTTAAAACTGTCACACCTCCCTTATTATCTCTGACCATCATTGATGAATCACAGCAAGGTAAATACAAATACACTAATAAATCAGATACTGTATTTTCATAAAATTATTTTTTTTAATTGTTAATATATAATACAACAGTCGGATAACTATCATAACTCTCAGTTTGTTGTAGGCATATATTAGGAAATCATACTTTGTAATAAAACATATTTTTACATTTTATTTACAACGCGTTCCGAAAATTTTAAAGAGTTATTTCCTGTTGTTCAAATATAAACATTCAGTTAACGTTAACTAATTCACGCTCTGTCTATTATATCTATCAGAAATGACACTTAAAAACTTACTTAAATATTACAATAAGTAATAAGAATATTCTTTAAATATGTATACTTTCGTTCAGCTTGCATAAACCTTTGCAATGAAAATTAAGAAAAGGAATTATAATTTTTTGATTTAATTTTCTCACGCTGATTCATAACTTAACCAAAATAAGTGAGCCGGTCTCTGTGTCCTCATTTTTTGCCACAAACAACTTTGGAGGGCATTACCCTCTCTTACACTCTCGAATGGAACCATCTAGCCTTGAGGCGAATGACCAAACTATCACTTAAATATCAAAGGCTTGTGAGCTTATGCCTAAAAAAACATAATTTGAACTGAAATTGTACGTTATAAAACCAGTCTTCTATAAAAAAAAACTAAATCAAATGCATTTCATTTAAATTGTACTTAGTTTCATTCACCCCTTGTTTTTAACCACTATAAATTTATTTAATTGCATAAATGTTTCAGACGTCTGAAATAAGAATATGAAGGATTATGATTATTTAAAATATTTACTGAGGCTCATTAAAATTTTGTGTAAATAAAGGAAATACGAAAAAAAATACATAGCAGAGAACATTATTCTTATAACTCATGTGTCGGAAAAAACCTTTGCCAAGCAACGAAGATGGGCCACAAAATTTGCAATCTATTTAAAAAAAAAAAACGAAATTATGCAACCTCTTTTTGCAAACGATGTAAAAACAAAACCGTGTCGTGCCGCCCACGGAAACATACCGAGAGATACGGCACTCCACTTCGAGTCTAAGGACCTTACCCTAGACATTGGCTCATGGCACTACGCAATAAGGTTGTCGCCGGTCAACGGCCGCCCACCTCCCGCGCCCCTGCGACCTCTTTTCGCTACAATCCAACAACTTTATAACGCGCATTTCTGCCAACAATAGTCATACTAAATACTACCATCTCTCAATGGTAGCTTTATTTATCAAGCGCGATAGAATGTTTTATTCGCTCTACACAAAAAATTGTTTAGCTACGATGGGCACTTAATTATGTATCGTTTCCATTATTGTCGGAAAACTTATTTTGTGACTCAGTTTTATAAACAATATTGATCACCCAACATTTTATAGAAAAATAGATTTATTTAAGTTCCCAATAAAACATTTCAAATTAATTATAATACTATATGTAATAATATCTAGACACATCGGTATCGTGCCTGAACTTAGCAGTGCTTGTAGTATAGTTTCTAGAACACGGTTAAATGTAGGTACATATTAAAACTATAAACACCCAAACCAATATTTTTGCAATATTTGAACGAGAATCAAACCAGCGAACCGCTGTGGTATTTTAGTCGAATTCCACCACGCCACAGAGGTCGTCTATATTTCGTATATGTTATCTTTTGAAATAGTTTTTAATTATATTACTGGTCCGTAGAAGTACAATATAACCACGTAATGGAATGTATCTAGTTTACTTTTATAATAATTTTGAATATACAATAAAATGAAAACCCTTTTCTTACACGTATACATACAAGTACATAACATACGTAACAAATCGAGGTAGTTACTTGCATGTTAGCACTTTTCACGTTATTTAGTGGTCATTAGACTCTTCCAATATGCACGGACACATCTCTATTCACAGAAATTAAATGTTCCGGTCAATAACATTTATCATGAACAATTTAAGGTAAGTGACTTCATAACTTTCGTGACTCTATCGACTATCGAATGTTGCACAATATTGTTTTTAATTGGCGTTCCACAATTAGTGCGCTCACCTGATTCGCTCCAGTTGTTACCGATTAAGTTTTTCTATCCTCTGGCTAAGTCAAGTTTACAGTTATCCTCACGGGTTTATGCCAGCTTAGTATAAGGCCACGTTCACGCCTACAGGTTGCCTATAGCCTACACCATAAAAGAAATAACGGGCCCCATATAGGAACAAAACGTTTTGCCTTTTGAAAAGCCTTTTGCCTATGCTCCAGCTTAGAATGAATCCCAATGTACAAATTACTAATGCGAGATAAACCCAGATTAGAAGATGTAAGGGCTACACGACTTATTAACATCACATTTATGATATAAACGTTATAATAATCAGCAAGTTAATGAGATAGCGGCATTATATACATCATCCATCATAACAAATGTACATTACCTTACGTCATTTACAAAAAAATTGGTCTGTTACCGTTACATTCTTAACTTTAAATCCTAAAATGTTGAATATTGGTCCACAAAATCTGTCTGTTTATTTTAAGACTTAAAATGTTGTCAGATTAACTGTACGTTTACATAAATAAACTTTATCCATACAACTTAGTAAAGATTTAAAGATCCTTTAAAGAGTCACATATTTAGTATTTGCTTAAGGACTTTGCAAGATTCTCTAAGCAATACATTTGTACTATATATGTAGAAGTCTATATTTATTTAACAATACAGAACATGTTATTTGAATTGAAAATTTGTCACTTAATAAAATACGGAATCAAAGTTCAACTATTTTGGGGCAGTGTATCACAAAGTATTTAAACTGTAAAACTACACATAATATATATTATTATACATTATCTACATAGTGTGTGATCTATTCTGTATTATGTCATAACATTATATGTATATATGGCCAGTTGCCGTCTCAGGCCTAGTGGCTTTTCTCTAATCAAAAATTAACGTATGCAAGCAACTGTCTAAACAAAGTAAACACATCAACAGAATATGGTTAAACTCTAGGACGCATTAGATTGGCAAACTGATTCTATGTGAAAAAAAGTACATTACAAATACGTCTGAGTTTCTCGATTCGATGATAATCGTAATAATTTTACGATCGGAGGGATAATTGTGTGCAATAATTGTAGCAAAGATATCAAAAAAAGCATTAGGAAAGATAGGAAACAGCGGAGGATGGAAACGATAGAATATTACATACTTCAAACAGGTGGAATCAAAAAAGCGCTCAAGGAATTGACAAACACAAAGGACTGGATTGTAAGAATGAAAAATGAAAGAGGAAAATGGAACCGCAACAGAACAGACCTATTAGAAACAGCTTCATCATACTACAAAAAACTGTACAGCAACGACACTACGCAAAGCAAATTAGTACTGGTAGATCCCTCGAATATTCCTAATATCCTGCACTCTGAAGTCAGGCAAGCTATTGACACCCAACAAGAAATGAAAGCACCCGGACCCGATGGCATAAACAATGAAATTCTAAGACACAGCAAGGGCACCCTAATACCTGTTCTCGCAGATATGTACAATGACATCATAAATACTGAAACTATTCCCCAACAATGGACAGAGTCTAAAATCATCCTACTGTATAAGAAAGGTGACAAACATGATATAGGAAACTATCGCCCTATCAGCCTTATGTCTAACGTATACAAGATTTTCGCTAAGATTATCTTAAAACGAATCGAAATAACGTTAGACGAACACCAACCGATGGAGCAAGCAGGATTCCGCAAAGATTATTCGGTACTCGACCACATCCACGTAGTGCGACAAGTTCTAGAGAAATACAACGAATACCAGCTAACATACTACATCGCGTTTATCGATTACAGCAAAGCGTTTGATTCTCTACTGCACGGAAAAATATGGGAGGCTCTACTAGAACAAGGAATCGAACACAAATACATCCGACTTATAAAAAACATCTACAGTCGCAGCACAGGAAGAATCCAACTAGAAAGGAAAAGCGCTCCTTTCAGAATTGGAAAAGGCGTTAGACAGGGGGATCCCCTATCTCCTAAACTTTTCTCCGCAGTACTGGAATCAATTTTCAGAAGACTTAATTGGAAACTTCTCGGTATTAACGTAAATGGTGTATTGCTGTCACACTTGAGGTTCGCTGACGATATAGTGCTATTTGCCAAAACACCAGAAGACTTAAATAAAATGCTAGGTGAACTTGCGACAGAAAGTGCGAAAGTGGGACTGGCATTGAATCCGGATAAGACTAGAGTGATGACAAACGGAAACAATCACACTATTAAATTAGGGAACACCGAAATAGACTACACTGACGAGTACATCTATCTAGGTCAGCTTATAACGCAAAAAGAACCCATGCGTAAGGAAGTGGAGAGAAGAATTACGAATGGCTGGAAGAGATACTGGAGCCTGAGGGAGGCTATGAAAGACAGACAAACTCCATATAAACTTAAAAAGTAAACTGTTTAACACCTGCGTACTACCTGTTCTGACGTACGGATGTCAATAATGGGTGCTAAATCATGAAACATTATACAAACTAGCAACTTGTCAGTACGCAATGGAAAGGAGTATGCTAAATATCAGAAAGTCTGACAGACTGAAAAACTTTGTCATCAGAAGCAAAACAAAAACTACAGATGTTACAACGAAAATCAAAAGACTGAAATGGAGATGGGCTGGCCACGTGATAAGAGGATGCGACAAATGGAGTCAAAGGGTGACCCAGTGGTATCCCAGAGAAGGCAAGAGGAAGAGAGGTAGGCCGCAAAAAAGATGGGACGATGACATTAGACAAGTGGCCGGAGTCATGTGGAACAGGGTGACACAGGAAAGGAAAGAATGGAAAAGGCTGGAGGAGGCCTTTGCCGATTGGCAAACAGATCTAGGAATGATAACCAAGCAACAGATATTAGCTTAAATAGTTTATTTAGTTTAAGAGTCCAGTGTTATTATAAGTTTAAACCCATTGTAACTAGTTAAGAGATCTGAATAAAAGGCTATATTATTATTATTATTAATTGTGTGCAGAAAGAATATATTAAGCTTGTGGCAAGATATTGATTTCTAGAAGATTTAAATGGCTATGGGCGACATCAGACTGCCGTGTTTTGCTGCATTGCTTTTTAAATTGACCGTTTACTCTGAAGTAAAATATGTTTTATTGCAGTTGGACATTTCGGGTTTTTCATAACATAATTTTGCGATAGCACATCAAGCTGGCTGGTTAGCCAGCTTATTGAACTCCAGCTTTAGCTAACTATCTTAAAATAATTTCGGATGCAATCAAGTTTAAAATTCTTGGCAGTGAATGTGTTAACTTTTGCCAGCGTCATTTTGTCTTTAACAAAATAATCCTCCAAGTTTTGTTGAGAGAGTATAAAACTGGAGATCACGAAATATTGATACCACCAGGTAGTAAGTCTCTTAAGTACCATCTATTTGTAAGTACTACACAAAGGTTGACTGGTTGCATTCTTGAGCGTGGTCAAATTGGCTAAACAGGTCAAGCTGGAACGCAAGGCAAGTAGCAGCGATAAATGAGACTGATTTAGTTTCAAAATTTTGAAGATATAGAAAGGAAGAATGTTTTTCCAAAAGACAAGTATCTCCATAGTTAATACACTGTTTGAAAATATTATTTGACGGGGCTCAATTTAACCCCTTTCTTCTAGAAATTCCTTAATCATTACGCCCCATTTACATATGTCACACCTATAAATCAATATTATTGAATTGACTCGACTCCATTAGTTCGTTCTCTGTCTTTGAAAAAATTTAAAAATAGGCATTTATGGCCATGATCATAGTCTTTGACACCAAGTAATAAGAATATAAATATTTTTAAGTTATTTAATGGACAAAAAACCGTTTCATTTTATTTTATTTTTTTAAATACTCCTTTCTTAATTTAATAATGAAAAAGGCGCATTTGGTTATATGCGCCTTTTTTCTTGAGTATTCAAAACTATGAAGATAATACTGGCCTTAGAAAAAAATACATATAATTTTCTGTTAATTGTTTCATCTGACTCATTAACCAGAAAATAGATTTACTAAATGTAATCTGTATATTTTCTGATTAAAGTTTCTAATGATTACACTAAACAATAAAATAGATTTAAAGTACTTTCGATAGTTTTCTTCCTAACGTACCTATATACCTTTATATGACAAATATAATAGCCGTATGACAA